GAGACAAAGCAAGAGTAGGTGAGAGATGAAGACAAGAAAGACACAAAAACTGAGAAAGAGACACCAAAGAAAAAGAAAAAAGGAGGCTCTGGATCAACAGGACGGAAGAAGCAAAAGGAGAACCGGAGAGAAGAAATCAAACTGAAGGCAGATAGAGAGAGGATGAAGAGCAAAGAGAAGCTTCAGTCAGAGATGAAAAAAAGAAAACATAAAGATGACATGATGATCAACCAACGAAGGGGAATCCAGCATCTTTTAGAAGACAGGAAACAGGAGAGGAGTCAGACAGAACCTGAGGATAGAGAAGAAAGAAATCAAGAAGAAAACCAAAGTACCCTCACTAAAACAACAGAAGAGAAGGCAGGGGACACTTACAAAGGAGCGGACAGTAATGAAAATCAAGAAGAGGTCATGGAAACACAAAGCAAACAGAAGGTAAAAGTAGAGGGTAGAGAAGGAGGGATTGGCATGTCAAATCTGATGAAGGAGCTGACAATGAAACTCTAAAGAATAAATTAAACATACAAACAGGATTCAAAAGAGGAGGGGAAGGCGATGCTGCATCGTTCAGCAATTATTGAAGAGATCAGAGAGAGAGAGGAGCTGAGTGTCAAGAGGAACTGCAGGAAGAGGAGGAGTTATAGAATGATGAACCTCAACATGTCACATGGAGGATCAAACCACAACAAACACAAGAGAGCAATGAGGACCAGGAGAGAGGTAGAGATTATGAAGAGCTATGAGTAAAGAAGAGAAGGGAGATGAGCTGAAACAGAAAACAGTCGACATTAGGCGACTCAGCAGAGAAGAGGAACTGAATGATGGAGCGCTGAGCAGCTTATTTATCTTTTTAACAAATCATTAGAAGAGGATTTTTGATGACTTTTGGATTTTGAAATTGTCAAATCAATCACAAAGAAAACAACGAGATGTGGAATTATTATTAGATGTTTTTCATCTAAGTTTTATCAAAATGCCAACCTGTGCATCCACCAACATGGCAGACATTTTTAAAATTCAGTGACTGAGTGAGCTGAGGTTACACTTAACAGCGAGCATGAAATGTGTACCTCAAACTCACTTTACAACTTCTTTCATTCATCATTTATTGTCTGATGATGTCATTTCTGTGCATTTTGGTTACCATTAGTGTGTTGTATTACATGGACGCTCATAATTCACATTTTCAGATTCAGTTTTTTGCAATGTAATTCTGCACTGTTTACCTCTTATCAACTGTCACTGTGTCAAACTATTTGTTTATTTTTTATTAAATCTCGCTCACTGCGATGTGGTTGGTCTGAAAACTTTATGGGGATTTTTTTTGATACCTCTATTTTGATATTGTATGCAGAGTGGTCTCCTTATTTACATCCAAATAATTGCAGAAACAAACACAGAAGGACTCACAAAGTAGTACACTCCATCTTGTGGCGAAAATTGGTAGTAACACCTACAGTAGACTTAGACTTAGACTTAGACTTAGACAGTACTTGAGACCACATTGTTAAACAACAAAGATATTTAGGGGATACTTGTTTTTAAACACTCAAGAACTTCCTGTTCTCACACTATTGTTAAAAATGTTATGATTAGATTATTATAAAAAAAAGTATAATGCATCTATTTTACCATTAGTTTGTTGTTATATAACAAAATGTTTTCCAACAATCTCACACATTTCAGTTTAATCAGTAGTGTCTGCACGGTTTCTATCTCGTCCTCTGCTGATCCCTTTCTCTCTCTCTCTCTCTCTCTCTCTTCAACTCATTTATGATGTGCTAATTAAACAAAAACACCTACTATCACAAAGACAAACATACATACTCTACTTCTTTTGGAGAAGAGGCTTCAGGGTCTAACTTCTTACCCTTCTTACTTATTTTGCAAAAATTTAGAAGGGACTGAGTTATTTTTTCTGTCTGGACATGAACCCTCAAACATCTCTCATTCTGCAGCTGTAACACTGACAGAGTGCCTAAACATAGTCATACTCTCAGCTGCAGCAGGAAAGAGGAGGAGAGGGCATCGAGGCCTGCATCACATGACCCCCGACCTAATGACCTTTTTCACTCTACAGCTTATAAATGGGATTTATTGAAAATTATTTCTATTAAAAATTACTCAAAATGAGTTTTGATAAAGCATATTTTTCGAATTAAGAAGTGTAGTATAAACAACATGAGATCATATATGTATACAGTGATTTTATTTACAGTTAATTCACCTTTTCAGGATGAAGTAATTGAATATTTTTTTAACATCTTTTTTTTCCGGTGTTGCGATTTGCAGACGGTCCCTGAGAGGGGTGTAGACCAGTGGTACTCAACTTGTCTAGCCTCAGGACCCACCACCAACTCCTCCCTGAAAAACCGTGACCCAAATTCTAACCAAATTCAACCAATCAGATTGATTTAATGAAAATTTTTAAGTTTGCAGGTTCTGTCAAATGTTATAGCTCAGACAATGCAAAACACCTGATGGAAGATATAAACAAACATGTTAAAACAAAAAAAAAGCACTTGACAGACTGTTCAAGAACAGGTTTTTTCCAGGAACATGACCCACTGAAAACAGCTCCCAACCCACCTTTGGGTCCCGACCCTCCAGTTGAGAATCACTGGTCTAGACTGTCTTGGCAGGTTAGGGTCACAACAGGTGTTATGGAGAGAATTGCATGCGCACCTTTCAAGACACAATTTCTACACTGATGGATTTTACATCCATCTTTAAATTTCCTCTACAAACACATTAGAGTCAAACACTGTTTGCAGGTCAGAACAATAAGGACACTTTACGTTTATCAAGTGTAAACTGCACATAGTCTACTTTGTCGTCACAGATCTGCCCGCAGAAATATGAGACCGTTTTCAGACACTTCCGCGACTTCCCGCAACTTATTCATGTGAGCAGGTTTTATCTGTGATGAACCTTAACGAGTGCAAACTGTGCTGTGGCCTGACACACACAGATCTAAAGTCTCTCTCTCTCTCTCTCTAATGCACTGATCCCAGGGCAAGTTAGCAGGTACATCCCTGATGCAATGTGTTCATTTTGGGTTTATAACACGCTGAAAAACAATCTCTCTTTGTTTAAACACTAAACACGTTGACTAGACTTTTTATTTTGTTTGTGCAACAGATCCTCCCATGATGTGTTTACGGGATAACATTACGTTTAAAATACATGTAGCCTATATTCATATTATTTGTATTTAATGAGTCAATATATTCAAACCAAATACCTCCGAGTCCGATTATAACCAGCAGCTGGTTTTGATTTGAGTCTTTTACTCCGTCGGTAACCAGGACAAACTTTAACAGTGTGACGACAGAGAGGTGGTGAACTTCCTGCTGAGCCTTCTTTATTTAAAACGGTCTTTATATAAAACATTTAAGTCTATCTAATGACAAACTGTCCGTTTATGTTTAAATATTGTTAAATTAACTTTATCGCTGATTTTTTTTTCCAAATCAAAGTGAAACTAAACTGTTTGTTTAAAACGTGCAGAGTGAAGGACACAGGAGGACTTGTTAATAATTATACAGAGAGGGTCATACAGACATTCATGCTCACACCTCCTGAGGATTTATCTCAAAGCTTAGCCAGGGACAGGGGTTTCAAATTAGCCACAGCTAGAAACCTGGATGCATGGCATCTAGTTTGTGTTTAAAGAGGACATATCATCCCCCTTCTCCATCTTTTCAAACATTCCCCTGGGGTCTAAATGAAACATCTGTGCTGTGCTTTGGTCAAAATATAACGTGAATCAAGCACCAGAGGAGGTTTGTGACCCTGCAGACCACAAATAAAGGACTGGATGGGTTTATCTCAAATTTTGTGGGTCAGTAGACACTCAGGTTACCCAAATAAATTTCCACAAATACTGTCAAACTGGATTTTTCACAATATGTCCCCTTTAATATATGAAGCAATGGTCACTGCATGTGTTCTTGTTAGTAACTAAAAAGAAGAAATAGCACAAAGACCTTCAGTGAGTGCAGTGGATGTTTACCGCGGCTTTTTTGCTTCTCTGAGCTGTTCTGCAGCTAAACTTTGATAAAATATGATTATTAAAGCAGAAATGTGTCCGTTGATGATATTTAACTGAATGTACGCTCAGTGTCCAGTTTATTTGTTCCACTAATATGAATTATAAACAAATTCTTACAAGCTGAGCAGTTAAAAATACTCACTAGTAGCTAATTAAGGGTTATTGATTCAGGTTAGTGCAAGTGGAATTTTTTTCTAAAGCTGGTTTGAACAAACTTTTTACAAGTGAAACAAGACTAATTCAAATGTTCTTGTTTCTGAATTGATAAGAAAATGTAGAAATTCACAGAGGTAAGTTTTGCACACGAGGTCGTATCACATCACAGATTTTCAAAAAGATTATTAAATATACATGTGGAGTCTCAGAGACCCAGAAACAGATTTCTGTTCTGACAACCCAAACAAGTCAACCCTTCAAAATCATGTTTATAAACCATTCTAATAAATTAACTTGAGGGCTTTGAGGTCACCATCACCCCATACTGACATTCACTTTTTTACCTACAGTTTGATTAACTGTGGTCTCCGACCTGCAAGAGTCTTTTTAAGTGCTCCTCAGTATCGTCTTTTTTAATGTTTTATCATGCTGTATTTTACTTTTCACAGCTCCAGGATGATTCACGTTTCCAACAGACGGTCCCTTCACTATCAGCATGGTGCCTTCACTGACCTGGTGTTCTACACTGTTGTCTTCCTCGCCCTGATGAACTCATGTAGAGGTAAGTTGCAAACATTACAAACAATGTGGTTCATGTTGACATGAAGAGCTATTTAAATTACTGAAGTTTAAAGTGATACTTCACCTGTTGAAACTTGAATCTGTATTGACATTGGGTCATATATTTAGTAGAATTGTGAAATACATTTTGAAGTTGTTGCCTTCTTGGCTGTGAAAAGGCAGAAAGTGTCTTTTTGGCTCATGTGGATGAAAGACACCAAATCCCAGAATGCACAGCACCGCAGGCCACTCCCACTAAGGTCCTCTAGTTCAGAATCAGAAATACTTTATTAATCCCAGAAGAAATTTAAATCGATACAGTTTCTCCAAAATATACAATATAGCAGTACAAATAGAAATAAAAACATTTACAGACATATTTACTTCAACTGATTCAGAGATTTCTTCCAGAATTGATCTTGGAAATTCCTGGCAGAAAACAGACTCTATGTCTGTGTCCATAGGCAAACAGTGAGAGCACCGACACTACCAGTCTGCCCCAGCTTCTCGACCTCACCGCCGCCGACAGGCAGGCATCATGTCTCTGCTGCTGAACTGGCAACGGTGGCAATATAGCCGCGAGACGGTTGCTGCCGACATGCTGGTCTTGTGTTGTGGCCCTGCGGTCAGGCTCGCTGCGGCCGGGCTCCGAAAATATCAGGAACTAGCGTTGTAGTTTCACCCCCGCTAACCGCAACAGCTTCCAGTGATGCAAAAAACGTCATTTTGCGTCACTGGAAGCTCCTTTTCAGACTTAGAAATACAAAGATTTCCCATCTCAGGGGAAAATGAGGGCGGGATGCACGACCATTCAAAAATACTACCAGGTTTCTAATGATACAAAGCTTAATGCAAATGGGTGAAGTATCCCTTTAAGTATGTGCTTCTAATGACACCATATGGCTCACATTTGCTGAGCTGTAGGAATAAAAAATGAATCCCTGTTTGTTTGCAGCTCAGTCTGAGGTGATCGTTCCATCTCAGCCAGTAGTTTCATTGGTGGGTGAAGACGTTATTCTGCCATGTCACCTGGACCCCGTCATGAATGCTTTTGACATGACTGTGGAGTGGGCGAGACCTGACCTGAACCAGATTTATCCTGGTGTGGCGTCAAGGCGAAGAACTGGAGACTAAAAAACATCCGTCCTTCAGTGGAAGAACATCAGTGTTCATCGATGAGCTGGAGAAGGGAAACATCTCACTGAAACTCTCCAAAGTTAAAGTCTCTGATGAGGGAGGATACAAATGCTTCATGCCTGCATTGTCAAAACCCTCCACTGTTCAGCTTGTTGTAGGTAAGAGGACATGTTTTTATGATTATTTAATAAATGTTCATGCAGCGGTCGTGGATTTGCTGCTGATGAGAGAGGAATATGTTAGAAAGGATATGTGCATCCAAATCTTTCATTGGTGCTTTCAAAGTGTTTATCTGTCCAGACGATAATGACACACGATGTGATAGTTTGCACACAGAAACAACATGACAACGTGTTCACAATACTATCAGTGTGATTGACTAAATTACTCAAAAAGCTTAAAGGGGCTATATGTAACTTTTTACATGGATCAATCGTTTTTTATCGTCCATTAATAAGCGAACGGTTAACTCGTGAAAAAGTAGATGTTCATCTGTGTTGCCTGAATAAAAAGTTTTTTCCGCGAAAGCTCCAGAAGTGACATTTTATGCACGTTCTCAACGTCCTCCTCACTCTGCTCCGCTTACAAAGATCAAAGTCAAAGTCAACTTTATTGTCAATTTCAAAATATGCCAGACATACAGTGGAATTGAAATTTCGTTTGTCTCCGTCCCGCGGTGCAATACAACCAATAAGGTAAAATAAGATAAGGTAAAAATAGATAAATAAAATGAGGTAAAAATAAGATAAATAATATTTACAGTAATAAATTCTAAATTGTGCAAAAGGTAGTAAATAAAATACAATAAAATTTAAAGAAAAAGTGAACTTGTGCAGTAAAGTAAGTGTACTTTTGAATAGTTAGCTTCAGAGTTTTTAGTCCAGAGTTTCTTGGTGGAAAACGGGAGGGGGTTTCAACATCCAGTGTTCGTGGGGGCAGAGGGGAGGGAAAGAAGAGAGGGGAGAGAGTTAAGCTTCCTGACAGCTTGGTGGAAGAAGCTGTTTCCCAGTCTGGTGGAGCCGGCCCGCAGGCTGCGGTACCGTCTCCCCGATGGCAGGAGGCTGAAGAGGCTGTGTGAGGGGTGGGTGGGGTCATGCACAATGCTGGTTGAGACATTGCTGGTACCGTAGAGGTCCAGAAGAGAGGGGAGTGGGACACCACCATAATCCGTTCAGCAGCCTTCACTGTGCGCTGCAGGGTCTTGCGGCTGGCAGCAGTGCAGCTCCCAAGCCACACAGTGATGCAGCTGGTCAGGATGCTCTCGATGGTGCCTCTGTAGAAGGAGCACATGATGGATGGGGGGGCTCGTGCTCTCTTCAGCTTGCGGAGGAAGTAGAGGCGCTGCTGGGACTTCTTGGCCAGTGATGTGGCGTTGGTTGTCCAGGAGAGATCCTCACTGATGTGAACCCCCAGGAATTTGGTGCTGTTCACTCTCTCCACAGCAGCACCTTTGATGGTCAGTGGGGGTTTAGGAGTGGGGACTCTCCGGAAGTCGACAAAAACCTTCTTAGTCTTGTCGACGTTCAGAAAGAGGTTGTTGTCTCTGCAACACGTGGCCAGTTGGCTGACCTCCATCCTGTAGTGCGTCTCATCGTTGTTGGAGATGAGACCAACCATTGTTGTGTCGTCCGCGAACTTCACAATGTGGTTGCTGCTGAAGGATGGAGCGCAGTCGTGGGTCAGCAGCGTGAAGAGCAGGGGGCTGAGCACACAACCTTGGGGGGCCCCCGTGCTCATGACGATGGTTTTTGATGTGCTGCCGTCGACCCGCACTGTCTGAGGCCTCTCGCTGAGGAAGTCCAGCAGCCAGTTGCAAAGGGAAGTGCTGAGCCCCAGCTGGTCCAGTTTGCTGATCAGCTGCTGAGGGATGATGGTGTTGAATGCTGAACTGAAGTCTATGAACAGCATTCTGACGTATGAGTTTTTGGTGTCCAGGTGGGTGAGGGCTGGGTGAAGAGCAGAACAGATGGCATCCTCGGTGGATCTGTTACCTCGGTATGCAAACTGGTAGGGGTCCAGGGTGGCGGGGAAGGTGGATTTGATGTGGGCCATGACTAACCTTTCAAAGCATTTCATGGCGATGGGGGTCAGTGCAACGGGTCGATAGTCATCAGAAAGTGGATGGTGAGGGCTTCTTTGGAACGAGTATGATGGTGGTGGCTTTGAAGCACGACGGAACAACAGCCTGACTCAGAGAAGCATTGAAAATGTCCGTGAAGACATCTTTGAGCTCCTCTGCACAGTCCTTCAGCACACGGCCAGGAATGTTGTCTGGACCTGCAGCCTTGCGGGTGTTGATCTTGGAGAAGGTTCTCTTCACGCTGGCTGCAGTCAGGCACAGGGTCTGGTCGTGGGGAGGGGGGGTGGTCTTCTGTGGGGGCGTGCTGTTGTGTGCTTCAAACTTGGCAAAGAAGCTGTTGAGGTCGTTCAGCAGAGAGGTGTTGCTGTCACAGGTCTGTGGCTTGGGTTTGTAGTCCGTGATGGTCTGGATACCACGCCACAGGCTCCGCGCGTCTCTGCTGTCCTTGAAGTGTCCGGTTATTTTTAGTGTGTAGCTGCGTTTGGCTTCCCTGATGCCACGGGACAGGTTGGCCCTCGCTGTTCTCAGGCAGGCTGCGTCCCCAGCTCTGAAGGCGGTGTTCCTGGTCCTCAGTAGCCCGCGTACCTCTCCTGTCAGCCATGGCTTCTGGTTAGCCCGGGTGGTGATGGTTCTGGTGGTGGTGACATCAGCAATGCATTTGCTAATGTAGGAGGTAACAGTGTCAGAATACTCCTCAATGTCTGTGTGGTTGTTGTAGGTGGCTGCCTGCTTAAACATCTCCCAATCTGTGGTATCAAAGCAGTCTTGTAGTGCAGCAGAGGCCCCCTCTGGCCACACACATACCTGCTTCAGAACTGGTTTGGTGACTTTAACCCTGGGTCTGTAAGCTGGCATTAGCATTACACTGATATGGTCAGAGTGGCCGATGTGGGGTAGGGGTGAAGCTTTGTAAGCACCTTTAACTGATGTGTAAATCATGTCCAGAATTTTACCTTCTCTTGTGGGAAAGGTCACGTGTTGGTGGAAGTGGGGTAAAACCGTCTTGAGATTTGCATGGTTAAAATCCCCAGCGATGATGAAAAATCTGTCTGGGTGGGCTGTCTGTTGCTCACTGATGGCGTTGTAAAGTTCCCAAAGTGCGTCGATTCTATTAGCGTTGTTGGTGGTGGGGGGGAATATATATATTCTATGTATATAGAAAGGACGGCACTTAATGATCATAAACTCCGCCAGCGTTGAACAGTGTTTACATACCACAGCAGCATCTCGACACCAAGCATCACTGATGTAAACACAGAATCCACCACCTTCTTTCCTCCTTTAATCAGGATTCTGTCCGAACGGTAGCATGTGAATCGTTCAAGCTGAACGGCGGAGTCTGATATGCGTTCGTTCAGCCATGTCTCTGTGAGAATGTACGCACAGCCGTCCCTCACGTTGTAGGTGCGCAGCTCTCAGTAGCTCTATATGGTCCATTTTATTGTCCAGAGATCTTATGCCTCCACGTTTACCTCGCTTTTGTTTCCGCTCGCACGTTTACGTTTCCGTCTCCTCTCCGGGGGGTAAACCGGCTCGCGAAGCAGTCCCAAAGTTTGAAACTGTTGTCTCCGGGGAGTTATTCGGGTAATAACTCCACAGAAAGGCTGTTACTGTTTAAGTCCAGTAAAAATCGAAAAGTCAAAAGAAAAGTTAGAAAAAGAAGAAAACACCGCTCTATTATCTCTATTATGCTGGTAAATAATGACGATGCTCGTTTGTGTACGTACGAGCACGTATGACGAGCACACGAGGGAGAGCGAGCAACAGGCTACTGGTGCAGTTCGCCTAACGGCCATGCGGTGTCACTACAAATGCAGTATTTTTGAAAGTTACATGTAGCCCCTTTAAACAGCTTAAACGTTACTGTTGAGGCACGTAGCAGCCATGTTGGATTTAATTCGGCCTACTGAAGGTTCTCTGAGTTTCCAGGTCGGAATTCTGACTTCAGAGGGGCGTTCCTGATGACGTATCAGACTGGAAACTCCACATTGCCGACTTCCCAAATCAAATGCAATGTACCATGTGTCTGTACCTTTGAATGTAAATGAGCTGTGTCTGACCACGCCCCCTCTCTGGAAAGGCTTGGGTATACTCGGGCTTTCTCGGGCTTTCTCCATGTCCTATTGTTTACGTGAGAAGGCAGACTCAGAGGGCAGAACAAACACCTAGCTTTGGGAGTGTCACCCACCTGGGGGAGGGGTTACTGCCCTTTGTGATGTCATGAAGGGGAAATCTCCAAACGGCCTGTTTGAGCACACATTTTCTAAAAAGTGGAGCAGGCAGAAGACGGAGAGGATGGACTTTTCTCATAATTTGGGGGATTTGGAGACAGACTAGAGACCCATATTAGAGTTAGAGAAACATGGTGAAGTGGATTTTCATAATATGTGATCTTTAATAGAGATCTTATGATGATGTAAGAAATCTCTCCTCTATAGGTGTGGTCTCCTCACCTGTTGTTCAGATGACCAAAAACAACAATGGAGTGTTGTTAGAGTGTGAGTCTGCAGACTGGTATCCAGAGCCAGAGATGTTTTGGCTGGACGGCGAGGGAAACCTCCTCTCTGCTGAACCCACTGAGACAGTCAGAGGTCCTGATGGTCTCTACACTGTCAGCAGCAGAGTGACTGTGGAGAAGAGACATGGGAGGAAGTTCACCTGTAGAGTCACACAGAGCAAGATCAACCAGACCAGAGAGAAGCACATCACTATTCCAGGTAAATATAAGTCATTAATTATTTAATGATGTAATTATCAAGATAAACAGTAAATACAAACAAATGTTTCTTCTATTTCAGATCATTTCTTTGTGGTCCCTACTCCTCGTACTCATGTTGTTATTGGCGCTGTGATTGGCTGTGCTGCGATCATCTTTGTTGTGTGGAAATGGAGACAAAAGAAATTCAGGAAGTGACAAACTGTCAGTCTTCTGATTGAAAGACTCCTAAAGGTTTTATGAAGTCATGCAGACGTTTGATGATGTATTGAGGAGACTAGAGTTCAAGAAGTGATTAGCATTTAGTTTTAGTTTCATTTGCATACATCCATTTATGATGAGGCCAGCTTTTATTCAAAAACTTCACCAGTTGTTCCATCTTTTGTGTCTTCACAGAAAACAAGAAGAGGAGACGTGAGGATGGAAGTGAACACTCTGAGGAAGAAAAGCTAGTCACATCTAAAAGTGATGAAACAGGATTTCAGGTTGTGAATGAAAAAAAAGAAGAAACAAACCAAGAGCAGGAACAGGGACAAAGACGAGAAACAAATGATGGAGACAAGAATGAACAGAAGACAGTGAAACCAGTTAGAGATGATTCAGGACTTTCAATACAAATAAAACACATCAACCCTGATCAGAAGATAGGGAGGGAGGAGACACAGCAAGAGGCAACGAGTGACATCGTCCAGAAAGAGAGAAAAACTGGGAAACACTCTGAGGAAGAAAAACCAGTCACATCTAAAGCTGATAAAACAGGATTTCAGGTTGTAGAAGAAAGACTTCAACTTACTTCAGTTCAAGAACAAGAGAACAATGTTGACACAACAGGAGAAAAGAGTGAGACTGAAGATGAGATTGTGACAGAACCAGAGCCAGTAAAAGACATTGTCTCTGCAGCAGCAGAACGTGAAATGAAGGAAACAGATCTACCTGTGATTCAAAAAGAAGAAGAAACAAACCAAGATCAGGAACAGGGACAAAGACGAGAAACAAATGATGTAGACGAGAGTGAACAGGAGACAGTGAAACCAGTTAGAGACGATTCACGACTTTCAATACAAATAAAACACATCAACACTGATCAGTTGATTGAGAGGGAAGAGACACAGCAAGAGGCAACGAGTGATGAAGGCAAGAAAGAGACAAAAAATGAGAAACACTCTGAGGAAGAAAAACCAGTCACATCTAAAAGTGATAAAACAGGATTTCATGTTGTGAATGAAGAAGAAGAAGAAAGACTTCAACTCATTTCAGTTCAAGAAAAGAACAATGTGGACAAAACTGCAGAAAAGAGTGAACCTAAAGATGAGCTTGTGACAGAACCAGAGCCAGTAAAAGACATCGTCTCTGCAGCAGCAGAACGTGAAATGAAGGAAACAGATCTACCTGTGATTCTAACAGAAGAAGAAACAAACCAAGAGCAGGAACAGGGACAAAGACAAGAAACAAATGATGGAGACAAGAATGAACAGAAGACAGTGAAACCAGTTAGAGACGATTCAGGACATTCAATACAAATAAAACACATCAACACTGATCAGAAGATAGAGAGGGAAGAGACACAGCAAGAGACAGTGAGAGATGAAGACGAGAAAGAGACAAAGCAAGAGGCAACGAGTGATGAAGACGAGAAAGAGACAAAGCAAGAGGTAACGAGTGATGAAGACAAGAAACAGACAAAGCAAGGGGCAACGAGTGATGAAGACAAGAAAAAGACACAGCAAGGGGCAACGAGTGATGAAGACAAGAAAGAGACACAGCAAGGGGCAACGAGTGACGAAGACAAGCAAGAGACACAGCAAGAGGCAACGAGTGACGAAGACAAGCAAGAGACAAAGGAAGAGGCAACGAGTGACGAAGACAAGAAAGAGACACAGCAAGGGGCAACGAGTGACGCAGACAAGAAAGAGACAAAGCAAGGGCAACGAGGGAGGAAGACAAGAAAGAGACAAAGCAAGGGGCAACGAGTGAGGAAGACAAGAAAGAGACACAGCAAGGGGCACCGAGTGACGAAGACAAGCAAGAGACAAAGCAAGGGGCAACGAGTGAGGAAGACAAGAAAGAGACACAGCAAGAGGAAACGAGTGACGAAGACAAGAAAGAGACAAAGCAAGAGGCAACGAGTGACGAAGACAAGAAAGAGACACAGCAAGGGGCAACGAGTGACGAAGACAAGCAAGAGACAAAGCAAGGGGCAACGAGTGACGAAGACAAGCAAGAGACACAGCAAGGGGCAACGAGTGACGAAGACAAGAAAGAGACACAGCAAGGGGCAACGAGTGACGAAGACAAGCAAGAGACACAGCAAGAGGCAACGAGTGACGAAGACAAGCAAGAGACAAAGGAAGAGGCAACGAGTGACGAAGACAAGAAAGAGACACAGCAAGAGGCAACGAGTGACGAAGACAAGAAAGAGACACAGCAAGAGGCAACGAGTGACGAAGACAAGAAAGAGACACAGCAAGAGGCAACGAGTGACGAAGACAAGCAAGAGACAAAGGAAGAGGCAACGAGTGACGAAGACAAGAAAGAGACACAGCAAGAGGCAGCGAGTGACGAAGACAAGAAAGAGACACAGCAAGAGGCAACGAGTGACGAAGACAAGCAAGAGACAAAGCAAGAGGCAACGAGTGACGAAGACAAGCAAGAGACAAAGCAAGAGGCAACGAGTGACGAAGACAAGAAAGAGACACAGCAAGAGGCAACGAGTGACGAAGACAAGAAAGAGACACAGCAAGGGGCAACGAGTGACGAAGACAAGAAAGAGACACAGCAAGAGGCAACGAGTGACATCGTCCAGAAAGAGAGAAAAACTGGGAAACACTCTGAGGAAGAAAAACCAGTCACATCTAAAGCTGATAAAACAGGATTTCAGGTTGTAGAAGAAAGACTTCAACTTACTTCAGTTCAAGAACAAGAGAACAATGCTGACAAAACAGCAGAAATGAAGGAAACAGATCGACCTGTGATTCAAAAAGAAGAAGAAACAAACCAAGAGCAGGAACAGGGACAAAGACCAGAAACAAATGATGGAGACGAGAATGAACAGAACACAGTGAAACCAGTTAGAGACGATTCAGGACTTTCAATACAAATAAAACACATCAACACTGATCAGAAGATGGAGAGGGAAGAGACACAGCAAGAGGCAGCGAGTGATGAAGATGAGAAAGAGACAAAAGGAATCACAGAGGAGATAAAAGTAGAGTGGAAAGGTGGAGAGAAACAGGAGTCTGTAACTGATAAAGAAGCTGACACATATGAAACCCAAAAGAAGCACAAGAAGATAACATCAGAATCTAAAGAAGGAGAACAGCAGCTGATGCTGCAACATTCAGACATGAATAAAGAAATGAGAGAGAGAGGACTGGAGGGTCAGGAGGACCTGCAGCAGGAGGAGGACATGGAGACTTATCAACCTCAACCTGAATCAGCTACAGAGGGACATAAAAAGGAGGCTTTTGGTAGAGGACAGAAAGAGGAACAGACCCAAAACATCAAGACTGATCAGAAGATGGAGAAGGAAGAGGAGTCTGTAACTGATAAAGAAGCTGACACAAATGAAACCCAAAAGAAGCACAAGAAGATAACATCAGAATCCAAAAGAGGAGAACAACAGCTGATGCTGCAACATTCAGACATGAATAAAGAAATGAGAGAGAGAGGAGTGGAGGGTCAGGAGGACCTGCAGCAGGAGGAGGACATGGAGACTTATCAACCTCAACCAAATGTCATACAAAGTACTGAACCACTAAATACACAAGAGGAAGGTCTCCATATGGATCAGCAACAAAGAGACGATTTAAGGAGGAATTCAGAAGAAGGCAGAATGCAGATAGAGGCTAGTTCTGAAATGCTAACACAGGGTCATGAAGAGCAAAATATGAATTTAATAAAGGAACAACAGCAGCAGGAGGAGGACATGGAGACTGATTAGTCTCAACCAAATGTCATACAAAGTATTGAACTAAATACACAAGTTCATTATGAATCAGCTACAGAGGGACATAAAAAGGAGGCTTTTGGTAGAGGACAGAAAGAGGCACAGCCCCAAAACATCAACACTGATCAGAAGATGTAGAAGGAAGAGAGACATCAGGAGGCAGCGAGTGATGAAGATGAGAAAGAGACAAAAACTGAGAAAGAGAGACCAAAGACAGAGAATAGGGAGGAGCAAACGAATAAAGGAGTCTCTGGATCAACAGGACTGAAGAAGCAAAAAGAGAACCAGAGAGAAGAAATCAAAGCAAAGAGAAGCTTAGGAGAGGGTAGAGAAGGAGGGGGATGAGGGGTCAGAAACTGATTATAAAGAAAACAGTGAGATGTGGAATTATTATTAGACGTTTTTTATCTAAGTTTTATCAAAATGTCAACCTGTTCATCCACCAACATGGCAGACATTTTTAAAATTCAGTGACTGAGTGAGCTGAGGTCACACTTCACAGCGGGCATTAAATATGTACCTCAAACTCACTTTACAACTTCTCTCAATCAACATTTATTGTCTGATGATGTCATTTCTGTGCATTTTGGTTACCATTAGTGTGTTGTGTTACATGGACGCTCACAATACAGCACACTATCATTCAAATCCCATATTAATAACATTAACCGGTCTGCATACTTCCACTTATGAAACATCAACTGTCTCCATCTCCTCCTGTACACCTTCAAGGCCATCCACAACCTCGCCCCTCCACATCTGTCTGACCTCCTTCACATCGCCACTTCAGCCCGCTCCCTCAGATCCTCCTCCTCCATCCACCTCACCGTGCCCTTTGCCCGCCTCAGCACCATGGGGGGCAGAGCTTTCAGCTGCTCTGGAACTCTCTGCCACCGGACATTCGCAACATTGACTCTCTCCCCATCTTCAAATCCAGACTCAAAACCCATCTGTTCAAGATCGCCTACTCACTAACATTTTAACTGTAATTACACTGTCCTACGTTTCATTTCTTTATTGTATGCTGTTTTTATCATCACTGTTTTTAAATGTTGATTGTTGTACAGTGTCCTTGTGTGTCTTGAAAGGCGCTTATAAATACAATTTATTATTATTATTATTATTATTATTAATACACATTTTCAGATTCAGTTTTTTGCAAAGTAATTCTGCACTGTTTACCTCTTATCAACTGTCACTGTGCCAAACTATTTGTTTATTTTTTATTAAATCTAGCTTAGTACGATGTGGTTGGTCTGAAGACTTTGTGGGGCTTTTTTTTGATACCTCTATTTTGATATCATTGTATTCAGAGTGGTCTCCTTATTTACATCCAAATCAATGCAGAAATAAACACAGAAGGACTCACAAAGTAGTAAACTCCATCTTGTGGCGAAAATAGGTAATAACACCTACAGTACTTGAGACCACAGTGTTAAACAACAAAGATATTTAGGGGATGTCTGTTTTAAACACTTAAGAACTTCCTGTTCTCACACTATTGTGAAAAATGTTATGATTAGATTATTATAAAAAGTAAAATGCATCTATTTTACCATTAGTTTGATGTTATATAACAAAATGTTTTCCAACAATCTCACATATTTCAGTTTAATCAGTAGTGTCTGCAAGGTTTCTATCTCGTCCTCTGCTGATCCCTCTCTCTCTCTCTCTCTCTCTCTCTCTCTCTATCTCTCTCTCTCTTCTCCTGTTTATTATCTGCAGCTTTCTGTCTGGAAAGAGAGAATTAAAGCATGTCAGCGTGATCCCTCAATAATTGTGCACTAATTGAACAAAAACACATACGATGACAAAGACAAACACACATACTCTTATGTACATATTTTGCAAATTCAGAAGGGGCTGACTTATTTTTTCTGTCTGGATATGAACCCTCAAACATCTCTCATTCTGCAGCTGTAACACTGACAGAGTGCCTAAACATAGTCATACTCTCAGCTGCAGCAGGAAAGAGGAGGAGAGGGCATCGAGGCCTGCATCACATAACCCCCGACCTAATGACCTTTTTCACTCTACAGCTTATAAATGGGATTTATTGAAAATTATTTCTATTAAAAATTACTCAAAATTAGTTTTGTTAATGCATATTTTTCGAATTAAGAAGTGTAGTATAAACAACATGAGATCATATATGTATACAGTGATTTTATTTACAGTTAATTCACCTTTCCAGGATGAAACATTTAATATTTTTTTAACATCTTTTTTTCCGGTGTTGCAATTTGCAGACGGTCCCTGAGAGGGGTCAAGACCAGTGGTCCTCAACTTGTCTAGCTTCAGGACCCAACACCAACTCCATCCTGAATAACCATGAACCAAATTCTATTTGTCAACCAATCAGATTTATTTAATGAAAATTTGAGACGTTTTTTAAGTTTGCAGCTTCAATCAAATGTTATAGCTCAGACGATGCAAAACACCTGATGGAAGATATAAACAAACATTTCTGAAAAAAAACGAAAGCTGAATCTGTGAATATCTTTCTAACTTTACTGAAGTTCTGAAGCCTTTAATCCTTTATTGAACGGTATGAACGGTCACGTCCACTGAAGCTCATAAAGCCGATGAAACGTGAACACACCTTTTTATTACTGGTGATCTGAGGATCTGCTTATCTCTTTTTATCAGACTTTGACCCATCAGAGTCTTCGGTAGACTTCCACAACGATCCAACAGGTATGAATATGTTTGAATTAATTTTGTTCATTTTGGGTTTATAACACGCTGAAAAACAATTTATCTTTGTTTAAAGATTAAACACGCAGACTAGACTTTCTGTTTTCTTTGTGCAACAGATGCTCCCATGATGTGTTTACGGGATTAAGTTAAAATGCATGTCGTCTATAGTCATATTGTTTATATTTAATGAGTCAATATATTCAAACCAAATACGTCCGAGTCCGATTATAACCAGCAGCTGGTTTTGATTTTAGTCTTTTACTCCGTCGGTAACCGGGACAAACTTTAACAGTGTGACGACAGAGAGGTGGTGAACTTCCTGCTGAGCCTTCTTTATTTAAAACGATCTTTATATAAAACATTTAAGTCTATCTAATGACAAACTGTCCGTTTATGTTTAAATATTGTTAAATTCACTTTATCGCGGATTTTTCTTTGCAAATCAAAGTGAAACTAAACTGTTTGTTTAAAACGTGCAGAGTGAAGGACACAGGAGGACTTGTTAATAATTATACAGAGAGGGTCATACAGACATTCATGCTCACACCTCCTGAGGATTTATCTCAAAGCTTAGCCAGGGACAGGGGTTTCAAATTAGCCACAGCTAGAAACCTGGATGCATGGCATCTAGTTTGTGTTTAAAGAGGACATTTTTAAAACGGAGCCAGGAGAAACTTCAGTTTTGATGCATGTACGGACAGCGGAACTTATCGCTCCCCCTCCCTCTCTCTCTCTCTCTCTCTCTCTCTCTCTCGCTCTCTCTCTTACTCTGAAGCTGATGTGATTCTGCTCCCTTGTGCTGTCTTAACACATTTTTGGGGGGCAATTTAGCCATGTTGAACACGGAGCCTTATAATACAGCGGCTCTGGTTGCATGGGTGGAGATACCAGGGGAGGGGAGGGGATTTCTTTTTTACCAGAATCCCACTGTGACATCACAAGGAGAGCATATTTGAAACAGCATTTTTCTCTGTGTTGTAAGACTTATGCAGACCACAAACAAAGGACTGGATGGGTTTATTTCACATTTTGTGGACACTCAGCAGTGGTTCCCCTAGGATTACAGCGTTGGGGGGGTGGGGACACGACGACATGACGACACAAACACTTGAAGGAATCTTGGTGTTCATGCGTTACTTTCAATGACAGCTGTCCTTTTCTATCGAAAAGGTTTCCTTAAATGACTTCTTTCTCTGATTTCCGACTCTATCCACTATCCTATCTCTACAATAAAGACACAAAAAGCCCAAAAATGAATCTTTGAAAAAAAAAAACCTTTATACCTACCCAATATAATGGTAGGGGAAACACTGCTCAGGTTACTCAAATAAATGTCCACAAATACTGTCAAAGTTGATTTTTCACAATATGTCCTCTTTAATATATGAAGCAATGGTCACTGCATGTGTTCTTGTTAGTAACTAAAAAGAAGAAATAGCACAAAGACCTTCAGTGAGTGCAGTGGATGTTTACTGCGGCTTTTTTGCTTCTCTGAGCTGTTCTGCAGATAAACTTTGATAAAATATGATTATTAAAGCAGAAATGTGTCCGTTGATGATATTTAACTGAATGTACGCTCAGTGTCCAGTTTATTTGTTCCGCTAATATGAATTATAAACAACTTCTTACAAGCTGAGCAGTTAAAAATACTCACTAGTAGCTAATTAAGGGTTATTGATTCGGGTTAGTGCAAGTGGAATTTTTTCCTCAAGCTGGTTTGAACAAACTTTTTACAAGTGCAACAAGACTAATTCAAATGTTCTTGTTTATGATTTGTTCAGAAAATGTAGAAATTCACAGAGAAGTTTTGCACACGAGGTCGTATCACATCACAGATTTTCAGAACGATGATTAAAACACATGTGGAGTCTCAGAGACCCAGAAACAGATTTCTGTTCTGACAACCCAAACAAGTCAACCCTTCAAAATCATGTTTATAAACCATTCTAATAAATTAACTTGAGGGCTTTGAGGTCACCATCACCCCATACTGACGTTCATTTATTTACCTACAGTTTGATTAACTGTGGTCTCCGACCTGCAAGAGGCTTTTTAAGTGCTCCTCAGTATCGTCTTTTTTAATGTTTTATCATGCTGTATTTTACTTTTCAGAGCTCCAGGATGATTCACGTTTCCAACAGACGGTCCCTTCACTATCAGCATGGTGCCTTCACTGACCTGGTGTTCTACGCTGTTGTCTTCCTCGCCCTGATGAACTCATGTAGAGGTAAGTTGCAAACATTACAAACAGTGTGGTTCATGTTGACATAAAGAGTTATTTAAATTACTGAAGTTTAAAGGGATACTTCACCTGTTGAAACATGAATCTGTATTGACATTGGGTCATATATTTAGTAGAATTGTGAAATACATTTTGAAATTGGTGCCTTCTTGGCTGTGAAAAGGCAGAAAGTGTCTTTTTGGCTCATGTGGATGAAAGACACCAAATCCCAGAATGCACAGCACCGCAGGCCACTCCCTCTAAGGTCCTCTAGTTCAGAATCAGAAATACTTTATTAATCCCAGAGGGAAATTCGATCGATACAGTTTCTCCAAAATATACAATATAGCAGTAGAAATATAGAAATAAAAACATTTACACACATATTTACTTCAACACATAAAACTGTTTCCTCAACTGGTTCAGAGATTTCTTCCAGAATTCTTGGAAATTCCTGGCAGAAAACAGACTCTATGTCTGTGTCCATAGGCAAACAGTGAGAGCACCGACACTACCAGTCCGCCCCAGCTTCTCGTCCTCACCGCCGCCGACAGGCAGGCATCATGTCTCTACTGCTGAGCTGGCTGCGGCAGCAATATAGCTGCGAGACGGTTGCTGCCGACATGCTGGTTTTGTGTTGTGGCCCGCGGTCAGGCTTGCGGCGGCCGGGCTCCAAAAATATCAGGAAATGGCGTTGTAGTTTCACCCCCGCTAACCACAACAGCTTCCAGTGACGCAAAAATTTTAATTTTGCATCACTGGAAGCTCCTTTTCAGACTTAGAAATACAAAGATTTCCCATCTCAGGGGAAAATGAGGGCGGGATGCACGACCATTCAAAAATACTACCAGGTATCCAATGATACAAAGCTTAATGCAAATGGGTGAAGTATCCCTTTAAGTATGTGCTTCTAATGACACCATATGGCTCACATTTGCTGAGCTGTAGGAATAAAAAATTAATCCCTGTTTGTTTGCAGCTCAGTCTGAGGTGATCGTTCCATCTCAGCCAGTAGTTTCATTGGTGGGTGAAGACGTTATTCTGCCATGTCACCTGGACCCCGTCATGAATGCTTTTGACATGACTGTGGAGTGGGCGAGACCTGACCTGAACCCCAGATTTATCCTGGTGTGGCGTCACGGAGAAGAACTGGAGACTATAAAACATCCGTCCTTCAGTGGAAGAACATCAGTGTTCATCGATGAGCTGGAGAAGGGAAACGTCTCACTGAAACTCTCCAAAGTTAAAGTCTCTGATGAGGGAGGATACAAATGCTTCATGCCTACATTGTCAAAAGCCTCCACTGTTCAGCTTGTTGTAGGTAAGAGGACATGTTTTTATGATTATTTAATAAATGTTCATGCAGCGGTCGTGGATTTGCTGCTGATGAGAGAGGAATATGTTAGAAAGGATATGTGCATCCAAATCTTTCATTGGTGCTTTCAAAGTGTTTATCTGTCCAGACGATAACGACACACGATGTGATAGTTTGCACACAGAAACAACATGACAACATGTTCACAATACTATCAGTGTGATTGACTAAACTACTCAAAAAGCTTAAAGGGGCTATATGTAACTTTTTACATGTATCAATCGTTTTTTATTGCCCATTAATAAGCGAACGGTTAACTTGTGAAAAAGTAGATGTTCATCTGTGTTGCCTGACTAAAAAGTTTTTTCCACGAAAGCTCCAGGAAGTGACATTATATGCACGTTCTCAACGTCATCCTCACTCCGCTCCGCTTACAAAGATCAACAGTACAAACTCATCACACACTCCTGCTCTCAGCCAGTGCCTGCAGAGACTGTCGTTTGTAGGATGGAGAATGAATACAGACACACAGACTCCTTCACAGACTTTCACATGTATGACCACTTACCTCCTCTGTAAACATTATGCTGGTAAATATCCAGTGTTTCGCGGCCGATGATGATGCTCCTTTGTGTACGTACGAGAGCATATGACGAGCACGCGAGGGAGAGCGAGCAACAGGTTACTGGTACAGTTCGCCCAACGGCCATGCGGTGTCGCTACAAACGCAGTATTTTTGAAAGTTGCATATAGCCCCTTTAAACAGCTTAAATGTTACTGTTGATGCACGTAGCAGCCATGTTGGATTTAACTCGGGCTACTGAAGGTTCTGAGTTTCCAGATCGGAATTCTGACTTCAGAGGGGCGTTCCTGATGATGTGTCAGACTGGCAACTCCACATTTCCGACTTCCCATATCAAATGCAACGCACCATGTGTCTGTCCCTTTAAATGTAAATGAGCTGTGTCTGACCACGCCACCTCTCTGGAAGGGCTCGGGTGTACTCGGGCTTTCTCGCTCCATGTCCTATTGTTTACGGTGAGAAGGCAGACTCAGAGGGCAGAACAAACACCTAGCTGTGGGAGTGTCACCCACCTGGGGGAGGGGCTACTGCCCTTTGTGATTTCATGAAGGGAAAATCTCCAAACGGCCTGTTTGAGCACACATTTTCTGAAAAGTGGAGCAGGCAAAAGACGGAGAGGATGAACTTTTCTCATCATTGGGGGATTTGTAGACAGACTAGAGACACATATTAGAGTTAGAGAAACATGGTGAAGTGGATTTTCATAATAAGTGACCTTTAATAGAGATCTTATGATGATGTAAGAAACGTCTCCTCTATAGGTGCTGTCTCCTCACCTGTTGTTCAGATGATCAAAAACAACAGTGGAGTGTTGTTAGAGTGTGAGTCTGCAGACTGGTATCCAGAGCCAGAGATGTTTTGGCTGGACGGCGAGGGAAACCTCCTCTCTGCTGAACCCACTGAGACAGTCAGAGGTCCTGATGGTCTCTACACTGTCAGCAGCAGAGTGACTGTGGAGAAGAGACATGGGAGGAAGTTCACCTGTAGAGTCACACAGAGGAAGATCAACCAGACCAGAGAGAAGCACCTCACTATTCCAGGTAAATATAAGTCATTCATTATTTAATGATGTAATTATCAAGATAAACAGTAAATACAAACAAATGTTTCTTCTATTTCAGATAATTTCTTTGTGGTCCCTACTTCCAGTCCTTCCAGGACTCCCAGTCATCCCAGTACTCCTCATACTCCTCGTACTCATGTTGTTATCGGCGCTGTGATTGGCTGTGCTGCTTTGCTGTTCATTCCTGCGATCATCTTTGTTGTGTGGAGATGGAGACAAAAGAAATTCAGTAAGTGACAAACTGTCAGTCTTCTGATTGTAAGACTCCTAAAGGTTTTATGAAGTCATGCAGACGTTTGATGATGTATTGATGAGACTAGAGTTCAAGAAGTGATTTGCATTTAGTTTTAGTTTAATTTGCATACATCCATTTATGATGAGGTCAGCTTTTATTCACAAACTTCACCAGTTTCTCCATCTTTTGTGTCGTCACAGAAAACAAGAAGACGAGACGTGAGGATGGAGGTGAACACTCTGAGGAAGAAAAGCTAGTCACATCTAAAAGTGATAAAACAGGATTTCAGTTTGTGAATGAAAAAGAAGAAAACCTTCCACTCATTTCAGTTAAAGAAGAAGGGAACAATGCTGACACAACAGGAGAAAAGAGTGAGACTGAAGATGAACCAGAGCCAGTAAATGACATCGTCTCTGCAGCAGGAGAATGTGAAATGAAGGAATCAGTAGGAGGAGAGCAGGAACAGGGACAAAGACGAGAAACAAATGATGGAGACGAGAATGAACAGAACACAGTGAAACCAGTTAGAGACGATTCAGGACTTTCAATACAAATAAAACACATGGTGTGCAACACTGATCAGAAGAAGGAGAAGGAAAAGACACAGCAAGAGGCAGTGAGTGATGAAGACGAGAAAGAGACAAAAACTGAGAAAGAGAGACCAAAGACTAAGAAAAAGAAAAAAGGAGGGTCAACAGGACAGAAGAAGTCAAAAGAGAAAAGAATCAAACTGAGGTCAGAAAGTGTGGAGAGCAAAAAGAAGCTTCATTCAGATATAAAGAAAGGAGAAAACAAAGATGAGACTGAGCTCAAACAACAAGAAGTAAATGGTGACCAAGACCAAGCAGTCGGACAAGAAACTGCAGTCAGACAAGAAGCTGCAGTCAGACAAGAAACTGCAGTCAGACAAGAAGCTGCAGTCGGACAAGAAGCTGCAGTCGGACAAGAAACTGCAGTCAGACAAGAAACTGCAGTCAGACAAGAAGCTGCAGTCAGACAAGAAACTGCAGTCAGACAAGAAGCTGCAGTCGGACAAGAAGCTGCAGTCGGACAAGAAACTGCAGTCAGACAAGAAACTGCAGTCAGACAAGAAACTGCAGTCAGACAAGAAGCTGCAGTCAGACAAGAAACTGAAGTCAGACAAGAAACTGCAGTCGGAAAAGAAACTGCAGTCAGACAAGAAACTGCAGTCGGACAAGAAACTGCAGTCGGACAAGAAACTGCAGTCAGACAAGAAGCTGCAGTCAGACAAGAAACTGCAGTCGGACAAGAAGCTGCAGTCAGACAAGAAACTGCAGTCGGACAAGAAGCTGCAGTCAGACAAAAAGCTGCAGTCAGACAAGAAGCTGCAGTCAGACAAGAAGCTGCAGTCGGACAAGAAGCTGCAGTCGGACAAGAAACTGCAGGCGGACAAGAAACTGCAGTCAGACAAGAAACTGCAGTCAGACAAGAAGCTGCAGTCAGACAAGAAGCTGCAGTCGGACAAGAAGCTGCAGTCGGACAAGAAACTGCAGTCGGACAAGAAGCTGCAGGCGGACAAGAAACTGCAGGCGGACAAGAAACTGCAGTTGGACAAGAAACTGCAGTCGGACAAGAAACTGCAGTCGGACAAGAAGCTGCAGGCGGACAAGAAACTCAGCATAGAGATAAAGGAATCACAGAGGAGATCAAAGTAGAGGGGACAGACAGAGAGGAAGAGGAGTCTGTAACTGATAAAGAAGCTGACACATATGAAACCCAAAAGAAGCACAAGAAGATAACATCAGAATCCAAAGGAGGAGAACAACAGCTGATGCTGCAACATTCAGACATGAATAAAGAAATGAGAGAGAGAGGAGTGGAGGGTCAGGAGGACCTGCAGCAGGAGGAGGACATGGAGACTTATCAACCTCAACCAAATGTTTATAAGGAGGACGTTATAAGGAGGAATTCAGAAGAAGGCAGAATGCAGATAGAGGCTAGTTCTGAAATGCTAACACAGGGTCATGAAGAGCTAAATATGAAACCAGCGAAGGAAAAACAGCAGCATAAAAAACTAGGAAGTAGTCCATATGCATTAGTTACAGAGAGACATAAGAAGAAGGCATTAGGTAGAGGGCAGAGAGAGGCTAGTTCCAAAAGGCATAAACAGACTCTGGAAGAGTTAGTTAAGGAACTAAAGGAGTTCATAGAAGGAACTCAAGAAGGGACAAATGAACCTCGAAGATGTGATGGGAATTCACATCAAGATGAAATGTGTACGAGTTATGAGGAGGGAATGGATAGACACTGAATAAAGAAAAACTGTGCAGCTTATTTCTCTTTTTTACTCTACCATTGAATGTAAAATTGTTTACCATTAAACAAACATTTGAATTAAATATATGATCTGACCTTAAGGCCCTACCCATGATTTGTTTCCTACCAGTTTCTATCGTAGAGCTCTATTTCTGAAAATGAATGAACTCCCCAACAATAGGCCTATCACACTCAATTTCAAACACTTTCCCATCTTTTGTTCTTTTTTGCCGGGGTCTCCAGCCCCTTTTGTTTCCTTTGTTCTATTGTTTACCTTTGATTATTTCTCGGGGGTTATTTACAGCCAAATAAAACTCAGTTTTAAAACCTAATATCTGTGTGACGTCCTATTTGTTCTAGTCTCCTGTGTTTTGAGCTTTGATTTAATTATTTAGTAATTCTATCTTTTGGTTAAGGAGGCTGTCACAAACTGACTGAAGCAGGAAGCAAAACAAACATAACCATGGCAACAACCCCAAAGTGAAGTCTAACGTTAGGTGGACATCATAAATGCAGGACCAACGTGTCCTGTAAAACATTCCACAATCAAACAGACAAAGTGTTTACCGTAATGGATGTTCTGACTGGCTAACCATTGTTTGTAGGACTTGTGATAAGGTTTTATTTGAAATTGAACAATTTTTTTAAACATATTCTACAATTATGGTTCAAATTTTCAATTTAAGTAATTCTGAAGTTGTAATAGTTTTCTTTCGCAAATCTTCTTGAGGAATCTCAGATGTTACACAAAAAGGCTAAGCAGCCTCATCTCACATTTAACGGTCACTGAAGCTTATCAGGCTGATAAAACTTGAACACACCTTTTTTATTACAGGTGACCATGGAGATCTGTTTATCAGGTTTTATCGGACTTTGAACGTGCAGAGCCCTCTGTAGAGTTCCACAGCCATCAAACAGGTATACATATTTGTTACTGTAAGTTTGTACTTGTTTTTATCTTGACGAGACACGGCAGGCAAAAACATTCATTTTTTATGCACTGGTCAATTTTCAGATTTTGGGCTAGTTCACTCCCTGCCCATGTAATGTTTCTATTTACCATAAAGAACATATCCAAATTATACATTTACGTGTAGATTTTAATACATTTTGTCTGTTCTCGTAAAGTTATCACTCTAATGCGACGTGCAGTATAACTGCTGTTCACTGCTGCCCGTCATGACTGATATCTCTGTAAAGCTCACTCTCCTGCACAACACTATGTAACCCAAATAAGGATACTTCCTTTCTACCAGCAACCAATCGTGAAAGTTCATTGGGGGGTTTAATGCTAAGAACGTAATCTCATTGGCTTGTGTTTGGTTTCTGATAACGTGATGCGTTCAGTGCGTGCGTGTACCGCAGGAGCGTGTAAACATACGTGACTTCAAGATGAGTCCAGCAATGATGTCACGGTGCTGAACTACGGTGGCCGGTAGGGGTCAAACGCTCAGCAACTGATGAAACGACATACATTTAGAAAAACGCGCAGCTTTTATAGAAATGCTGCACATTCAAAATCACATTTTTACTGAACAATAATTATGAAAATAATTCTGTTTTGCAATTTCAGATCATCTCTTCATGCTCCCCAGCCCTGTTGTTATCTGTGCTGCTTTGCTGTTCATTCCTGCAATCATCTTAGATGAAACTGTCAGTCTTCTGATTGTAAGACTCTTAAAAGTTTTATGAAGTCATGCAGACGTTTTATGATGTATTAACGAGGTTATTTTTTAGGACTGAGTAGTCGTTCAGTTTTGACTCACTTTGCATTCTTTTACATTCAAGTATTTGTGGATTCAAAAACAGTTTTTGTGTTCGTATGTCTCTGTGGTGGAGTGTTGTGGCTGGAGCTTTTATATTATCAGGTTGTCTTTTCGTCTATGCATGAGGTACAACATCCAAGAGAATGACACCACCTTTGTCAATAAGCAGATTATCTCCCCTTAAACTTGGTGTACACTTTACGATTTCAGGTCAATTTAGACCACATTATGTAGTCGTACAACTGATTTTGATTTCTGGCTTTTCAGCCCGAATGTGCGTCTTACGTACACTGAAGCACGACGTCCAAACTCTGTCCAAACAGCTGCTCCTGACTGGTCTGATGATTTTCTGGCATGTTTGATATTTTGATCGTTCGACTGCACACACTCGCAGAGCAGGGGCGTGTCCAGACTTTTTTGACTGGGGTGGCCCACCTGGTTGAAGAGGATTTTTGATGACTTTTGGATTTTGAAATTGTCAAATCAATCACAAAGAAAACAGTGAGATGTGGAATTATTATTAGACGCTTTTCATCTAAGTTTTATCAAAATGCTAACCTGTGCATCCACCAACATGGCAGACATTTTTAAAATTCAGTGACTGATCTGAGGTCACACTTAACAATGAGCATGAAATGTGTACCTCAAACTCACTTTACAACTTCTTTCATTCATCATTTATTGTCTGATGATGTCATTTCTGTGCATTTTGGTTACCATTAGTGTGTTGTATTACATGGACACTCATAATTCACATTTTCAGATTCAGTTTTTTGCGATGTAATTCTGCACTGTTTACCTCTTATCAACTGTCACTGTGTCAAACTATTTGTTTATTTTTTATTAAATCTAGCTCACTGCAATGTGGTTGGTCTGAAGACTTTGTGGGGAGGAATTTTTTGATACCTCTATTTAGATATTGTATTCAGAGTGGTCTCCTTATTTACATCCAAATCAATGTTTTAATCCCTGAGAATATCTGTGATGTGAACCTCACACATGATGCACACCAGCTATTGTTGCACACTTGAAGAAATGACTCTCAGTGTCTTTTATATGTTTAATGTAGAGCTCAGAAACTGTAAATGTACACAAACAGAAGAGCACATTGTTGGGTAACAAGTTTCCGCACATCTTCATTTCACAGCACATCTAGCTTCAATGTGACTTTACTGTTTGACTCACAAAGTAGTGCACTCCATCTTGTGGTGAAAATAGGTAATAACACCTACAGTACTGAAACAGTGCTTTCTGTATGTATGTCTATCTTTGAAGCACAGTGAATATTTTAACTTAACAATAAATAAAGCAAAAGGATTGAAGAACAATGTATTTTAAATATTTTCTCAAAATGAGACCACATTGTTAAACAACAAAAATATTTAGGGGATGCCTGTTTTTAAACACTTAAGAACTTCCTGTTCTCACACTATTAAAAATGTTATGATTAGATTATTATAAAAAGTATAATGTATCTATTTTACCATTAGTTTGTTGTTATATAACAAAATGTTTTCCAACAATCTCACACATTTCAGTTTAATCAGTAGTGTCTGCACGGTTTCTATCTCGTCCTCTGCTGATCCCTCTCTCTTTCTCTCTCTCTCTCTCTCTCTCTCTATCTCTCTCTCTCTCTCTCTCTCTCTCTTCTCCTGTTCATCATCTGCAGCTTTCTGTCTGTATAGAGAGAATAAAAGCATGTCAACGTGATCCCTCAATAATTGTGCACTGATTGAACAAAAACACTTACGATCACAAAGACAAACACACATACTCTTATGTACATATTTTGCAAAAATTCAGAAGGGACTGAGTTATTTTTTCTGTCTGGACATGAACCCTCAAACATCTCTCGTTCTGCAGCTGTAACACTGACAGAGTGCCTAAACATAGTCATACTCTCAGCTGCAGCAGGAAAGAGGAGGAGAGGGCATCGAGGCCTGCATCACATGACCCCCCGACCTAATGACCTTTTTCACTCTACAGCTTATAAATGGAATTTATTGAAAATTATTTCTATTAAAAATTACTCAAAATGAGTTTTGTTAATGCATATTTTTCGAATTAAGAAGTGTAGTATAAACAACATGAGATCATATATGTATACAGTGATTTTATTTACAGTTAATTCACCTTTCCAGGATGAAAAATTTAATATTTTTTTAACATCTTTTTTTCCAGTGTTGCAATTTGCAGACGGTCCCTGAGAGGGGTCAAGACCATAGACTGTAAATATTACTGGACGAACCCTGACCCGTCTGTTACATAGGCAGAAAATGAGTCCAATCGACGGCCGCATCCATATTGGATTTGCAGTCTCAACCTAACTTCGGATCAACCTAGCGACAGCAGTAAGGCGGGACCGGCGGGATTTAGCTCCGCCCATTCAGCTCGACGTCAGCAGTCCTCTTCACAGCATATCTAACAGCTAGGCTGCTATCATCAACTATTCCTGCTCGTCCTGAGAAAACTCTACAAACAGTAAGTTAACATTTAACTTTTCTACAACACAGTTAAAACGAATTATATTCAACCAAGATATTTAATTAAAGTCTTAAAACTACACTTTTTTAAGTATACAATCATTGTTATTAATTATTTGTCAGAGCAGTTAGACTTTGTCAGTGTTAGCAGAGAAATACATTAACAAAGTTTTATCCATAAACTGTAAATAAATATGAGACATCCAGAAGAAATCAATATTACAAAGCATACAGTTCATGTTACTGTTCTGACAAAAAGAGGAATGTCTGTGTTTTATATTTACTGATGTCAACAGCGATGACGGTGAACATGACAATTGAAAA